CCCCCCCCCCTACTCTGATACCTGACTTACACCCCAGATAGGAGATATAGGAGATTGATAAACAACGAGCAAGGCTCAAAAAATAAATATTGATATCAGTAATATTTGTCCAGAAAATTTTATTTTAGTTGATTTATAATTAAATAAAATTAAGAGATGAAAGAGAAAAAAAATATATCTCCTGCATCTCCTATATCTGCTAGGCCTGGTTCCCTAGGACTTAATCGAGTTTCCTGGGATATTCTCTGAACGCATCATATGAAAAATAGACAAATTAAATAAAATCGATGTGCTACTTTGAAAAATGATGCACAAGATTTCAACTGTTATTTAAATCAATTAGACTCTTATATGAGCTGCGATCTGTGACCACGTTCAGAATAAAATTGTTATATGTTAACTTTTAAATAAGATTATAATTTCATACCCTTATTTCATTTTCATAAAAGAAATTTTATAAATATTGTATTATTTTATTTATTACATATTAGCTGTTGTTGTAGGTTTTTAATATCACGCGTTCTTATAAAACCGGTTTTATTTCATTTATTGGCGATTCAATAAAGTATTTGTTCCGAAGGGTATGAAATTTTATTGGGAACGATTTCATGTTTAAACAATATGTAAAATGAACAAACATCGTTTTATTATAGTAGATTGTAATTTTTGCGTTTGTATCCGCATAAAATATTTTCTCTCGTAATGTACTATAATTTTTATTCGATATTGGCTGATTCATATCATATTTTTTAAATACACGGTTGAATTGCTTCTCTAGAAATTCACCGGGGTATTTATTTAATAATAAGGCCACTCTTAATTTTTCACGTTCATATAAATATGCTTCAAATGTTGAATAATATTTAATAGCACGGATTAACATTTCAAATGGAATATTTCTTTTCATATGGGTAGGATGAATACTATTGAATGGTAAATAGTATGGCTCGTAAGATGGTTTGTGGTAAACTTCTGTAAATAGTACATCATTTTTATTTTCTATCTTTAAATCAAGAAAAATCGTTGTATAACCAACTTGAGTTTTTCATTTAATTTTAACGTCGAAAATTATAGTACATTACGAGAGAAAATAATTTATCCGGATAAAAACGCAAAAATTACAATCTACTATAATAAAACAATGTTTGTTCATTTTACATATTGTTTAAATATGAAAGCGTTCCCGGTAAAATGTCATACCCTTTGGAACAAATATTTTATTGAATCGCCAATAAATGAAATGAAACCGGTTTTATAAGAACGCGTAATGTTAAAAACCTACAACAACAGCTAATATGTAATAAATAAAATAATACAATATTTAGAGCAGTCATTCAATTCCGCAATGTTGAACATTCCGGAACCAGTTCCGCCCCCGGAATCAGTTCCGTCGATTCCGGAATTAGGTCAAATATGAACACTG